CTTTCCCTGGAGTGCACTAACTCAGTTCTCCTACCTCATTTCATTTGTTTTTTTGTATAAGAACATATAGAACTGTAGAAACTCAATAGCTAGGCTTTCATTATTTATTCTTGACTTGTACTTGCAGTATTTTTGTACATGTAACATTGTACTTCTGAGTATGCATGTTATAAAGAGTAAAGACTTTAGATGAGGCTTTCATTATCCTTTAATTTGCATGGAGAAATGGCCTGGGTATTTCATGCAACAAGTGTAAAAACCTGAGATTCACCTATATATTGGCTGCATATCAGACTGGCACCAATAAAAGGGAAATTTACATTATCGGCTGTTAGCTTTTTTTGGCCCATGTAGCCGTTAATGTTCAGCAATAAATACCTTCTGGTAATTATACCTTCTGGTTGGGACCCCCGGATGCCACATGCATGCACATGACCAGGAATGCAGCCAGGCAGCATGAAGACCAGCTCACTGCAGGTAAGTCTATGGAGGGAAAGGGATGTGGGGGAGGGAAGGGACATGAAAGGGGCAGATTGAGGCCCCCATGGTGAGGGAGGGAGTGAGGCAGGGTAAAGGGGGCGCTGGTCATCTAGGGCAGTAAATGGGACCTGAGGCTGGGGTGAGGAGCAGGATGGAGCCGTGGGCAGTGAGGGGGCTCCTGGGACAAAGGCAGCAGAGCAGAGAGCCCTGACCCACAGTGCGCAGCATGCATCCACCTTCACCCCGCTCAGCTCTGATCCACTTAAAAATGGTGAAAGTGGCACTCATTTGACGAGCTTTTGTTGAAGCGCCCCCAGTGCCATTCTTAAGCACCGGGACGCTGATCCCCTGGATGAGTTACCTAATGGCTCCATCCTGGTCCCCACCCCAGCCCTAGGTCCCATTCACTGCCCTGGCTGGGCAGCACCCTCCGCCCCTGCCCCACTCCCTCCTTTGCCATGAAGGCCTCAATGTGCCCCTCCACCCCCACACCCTTCCATAGACTTACCTGCAGAAAGGTGCTGTCCACAATGCACGGCTGCATTCCTGTAAATCAGTTATTGGATCAGTACCGGCTTGTTAAGAATCGGCTATCAGTATCATCCAAGAAAATCTTTATCAGTGCACCCTAGTAAAAACTTGTTTATAATGTGATAGGTACCATGGATCTTCATATGCACAGTGGGGCCTCTCCCTGTTCCAAATGGGTTGTTGACATTACTGCATTTATTGGACAAACAGACTTCTGACATGAATAGAAATTAATTCCTGCATAATTTAATAACAGTTCTACTTTAAAATAGTGACTGGACATCTGTCTAGATGGTGAATCTGCCCACAGTTGTTGAACAGGTTTAGATGAAATAGAAAAGAAATGCTTCCGGACCAACTGCCAACCAAAGTGCTACAAGAAACATTTTCTGAACCAGTACTCTACAATTGTCCCCTGGCCTGGAGCATGCTGTGGAGATACTGTTCCATCTCCCCACCCCTTATGACGTCTGAGGAGAGAAGAGGCTGTTTTAATTACTGATATTGTCCTGCTGTCCAATAATGAGGAACTTGGTAAAATGAAAGCATCATCTAAAATCTTTACTCTTTATAACACATGCATACTCAGAAGTACAACGAATGTTACACATTGTGTTAAACCTTTTGTGAGACAGGTAAACCTCATTCCCAGCCTAGAGGAGAAAGACAGGTTAAGGCCCTTGCACAAAGGCACACACTAAGTTAATGGTTTAGAATTCAAGCTTCCAGTCCTCCACTACAAATTAAACAATTGTTTGCTGTTAAAATACACCTGCCTAAGCACCACTGTACAGTATGCTTTAACCATGACCTTGGTTAGCTGTAGTCTCTACAATGGAGCTTGACAAGGTTTTGCAACAGAGGCCATTTTAAGAGCCACTTCTAGCTCTGAATGTAGGCTGCTTCCAACTTGGCCCATGCAGCCAGAGCTGGAGACGTCGCTACCCACCACGGTGCCACTGCCTCTCCCAGCTGCCCAAGCAAAGCCTCCTACTGCTGAAATGCCATAGAAGACCCTGGGCTCCATGGACTGGATAAAATGGTTCCACAGGCTGGATCGGACCTGCAAGTCATGCTGCCAGCCCTGCTCTACAACATTTTACATTTTCCCTCACGTGCCTGTATTTTGTTACAGTACATGCATGCCTGCAAGCAAACACTAAAACAAGCAAAGAATACCTAATCGTTTCCTTTGAGAGCAAGACAAAAAGACAAAAAACAAACAACAATATAGCTCACAATACATATTTATTATTAGAGATGTTTACAGAAAAGTCTGTGCATTACTGCTAGTCTAGGACTGATGACTGGGGGATTTATTTTATTTATTTATTTATTTTTTATAGTTTATGGCTTTGTTTTTCGAATTCTTTAAAAAGAAGTCACAAAACTGATAAGTTCTGGGGATACTTCAGTCTCATTAAAAAAAGCTGAATTCAGAGATAAGGTGCTTTCACTAGCAGTTTAGTAACTACGGCCAAACAGAGTGTAGAACTTGGCAGGGTTCTTGCCACACACACATTTTGTTCCAGCCTGCAGCTCACAGAGAGGTTTGAAGGGGATGCAGAGACTTTTTGCTCCCATGGATGGGGCACCAGGCTCAAGATCTTGATCCCTAAGAAAGAAAAACAATTTTTTAAGCATTTTTAATTAATCTGATTTAATTAATAGAAAAAATAAGTTTCAAGATAGACTTATTGAACTAGAAAGTTTGAAGCTGATGGAGTAAAGCCTGCTTTGTATTTAGAAGAGTGAAAGTTCTATGCAGATGGTGTAAAATGAATGTTACTTTAATATTTCACATTCAACTACATTTTGTTTTCAGGCAGGTAAGTTCCTTCCAGTTATGTTACCTGGCAGTAGTTTTCTTGATCCAGTCCTCACATTCAATCTCCCCACAAAAGGGAATCTGCACAATCTGATGTAAAAGAAAGATGGACAGGTTAGATATTAAAACAGGCAGTCTCTTTGTTGAAAAGAAAGACTCCTGAGTCCTGCAGCTGTTATACAGCTAACACTATCTGGTGATTCCATGGCATATCAACTTAATTCACAGGACTTTTATAGCCATCCTGTTATGAATATAGAGTTCAACAGTTGTTTCTTAATGATGAAACTAGTAAAGCATTGGTATAAACCCACAGCGGATTTTAAGAGGGTGATTGCTGCCTTCATATAAATTGCTTGCATTTACAAGACAGATATTTAAAAGAAAAAGAAAAAGAAACTATTATAGATTCATAGATGTTTGGGTCAGAAGGGACATCAGTGGATCATCGAGTCCAAACCCTGCCCTGGGTAGGGAAGAGCACTGGGGTGAGATGACCCCAGCCAGGTGCATGTCTAGCCTCCTCTTAAAGACCCCCAGGGTAGGGGAGAGCACCATCTCCCTTGGAAGCCCATTCCAAATTCTGGCAACCCTTACTATAAAGAAGTTCTTCCCGGGGTCTAACTTAAATCTGCTCTCTGTCAGCTTATGGCTGTTGTTCCTAGTTACTCCAAGGGGTGCCCTGGTAAACACAGCATCTCCTACTCCTTGCTGCCCCTCTCCCTGCCCCCCATGATTAATTTGTAGGCAGCCACAAGATCACCTCTCAGCCTTCTCTTGCAGAGGCTGAAGAGATCCAGGTGTCTCACTCTCTCCTCATAGGGCTTTGCCTGCAGGCCCCTAACCATGAGTGGCCCTCCTCTGAACCTTCTCGAGGTTGTCCACATCCCTCTTGAAGTATGGGGCCCAAAACTGGATGCGGTACTCCAACTGTGGCCTGACCAATAAGTTTTCTTCTACTCATGAAAATGATCTAGTCCCCTATGCATCTGTTGGACTGCAAGGAGAACACTTTCTTGCACTGTATAAAGGGACACATTGAGAACTCTTAGTAAAGCTTCCCATTATAAATTCCAGCCATTAGGATTTTCATATTTTCTGAACAAGGCATACATTTTAACTGTGGTTAATACATGTCCTAAAATATGAGTGTACCTGGGTTCGCTGGTTTTTAAACAGCTTAAACCTACAGTAAATATTACAACAGGATGACTATGTAACATCTCAATGTTGTCTGGACACACGACACAAAAGCAACATCATGCAGAAAACACAGGAAGGTCTTTATCCACGGCTACTATGATCAGTGAAGCTAAACTTCCTTTGAAAACTGTGTGCACCAGAGAAATACCACTGCAGAACCAGAAGGTGGAGCACAGTATTTTTGTGCAAATTTATTTTTTCAAGGGAGGGTCATCTTGTTTCTTTGGCACAATACCACAACCATGAATGAGGCTCTGAAGTGCTAGCTGATGAACAGACGCGGTTGCTTTTGCTACACAGTTTACAAATCAAGTTAAAAACATGCAAAGGCATTTGAGTTAGAGAACAATAGGAGGAGGACAGGAGTAAAAAGAATAAGAAAATGGCTAAAATAGGTAACTAGAGTGCATTTTATAGTGAATGGAAAATCATTAGATAATATAAACTCCAATAGGCTCCATACCTAGCCCTTAGAAAACATTTCATCCACTGTATGTCTAACATTACACAAATCACTTAACCTCTCTTTATGTCTCGCTATTACACAACAAGTATTGCACTAAACAGGAATTCTACTTAAATTTCCTCAGTAAATTTTCAAATATACTTATCAATGTATGGGCTAGGTGATGGATTACAGAATTTCAAGTTAAAACATCAAGACAATGGCAGCTCACTGGACATCTCAAGTGAAGAACAATTTGGTTCATTTCTTGAATGATTAAGAATTGCTTTTATGTAGAAGTGCACCGATATATCGATTGCATATCAGATCGGCACTGATAAAAAGAAAATTAACATTATTGACCATCGGCTATTTTTGGCCATTATGGCCAGTGATGTCACTGATATAGGAATGCAGCCCAGCAGTGTGGAGAGTAAGTTGGCTATCGGATTGGTATCAGTCAATATAGATGGCTAATAATCTGCTATCAATATGAGCCAAGAAAATCTTTCAGTGCATTCCTACTTTTATACTCTAACCTACATGTCAGCTGCTCTATCAACACTTCCCTTAAATTTAGCATTCTAAAAAGAATGGAAGTCAATCCTGCTACATTATCAGTTATTCTGAATATTAAACTTGGGAAACTTTCTGATGCCCAGCAATTCTTAAATGCACCCAGTGGCTTCTGCCCAGGTCAAAAAAGCAAGTTCTCTTTGACGCAAGTAGGATGTACTCTGGACTCTTACTTGGAACCTTGCTATGATATTTGGTAATTATTTTGCAACTACTCGTGTTGGAAAAATGACAGTAGCTTATCTTAATCTGAATAAGGTATTTGTATTAAGATCTATGGCTAATTTCTGCTGAAAAAGCAGTATACTTATTTAAAGTGCTGCGGGACAGGTAACAGGCATTTCAGATTACCTTATGTAGCCTTATTACCTATGCAAGAATAAATAATATTTTAAATACTAGTATCTTAGAAAATCTTATTAATCAAAACTACATTTGAACATAGGGGATAACAAGCAGCACTGGAGGATTTGAGAAGTTACAATTCTAGCCAATCTCCATTAAAACATTACACCTGGTGATAGAAGTAGTTTGATTAAAAACCACCAGATAGCTCCCTTTCAAATAGTAACCCAGCATTTTTTTTTACGCACCAGATACTCAACTCGCCTCTAAAGCATAAGAAAAATTGTACAGGTTTCCCTCGCTTTATGCTGTACATGTGTTCTTGGATAGTGGTGCATAACTCAAATTTGCATAAAAGGAACCCACTTTACAATGTAACCAATAGGGATATGTTCCAAGACCTCAACTATACTGACCCCGAGACCCATTTCTACCACTTTTACAGGACAATTTTGGTACTCAGCAACAGCAGAATACACACAAGCACAGGGCACTATCATAATGGGGATGGCAGCTACAAAAACCACACGTGGCAGACAATGAGTGAGGAGCACAGATCCACGCAGAAGACTATATTTTGGTGCACATCACACATGCAATGCACCGCATAAAGGAGCTGACTGTGGGCTTCCACCACACCAATTGCATAAGAGTGAATTTACCTTGCATATAATGAATTTTCGGTATAAAAAGGGTCATCGCATAAGAGCGAATTCACACATACAGAACCCACATAAAGCAAGGGAAACCTGTATATTATTTTAACTATGTCAAAAGACACTTGGTATTGAAGCTCAAAAGGGAATTTCTTTACCTTTCCGGAATCAAGTTCTTTTTGAAAGTCATCCATATCATTAGACACCACCATGTGATTTTTCAGGTCTTCAAATGCTCTAAAAAAATTAATTAAATCAAGTAAGTACACTTCTACAACAAGGAGTTACCAATTGAAAAAAGTTTGCTAAGAGTTGGAGAAGAAAAATTACACATGGAAAAGGAATTACAAGTACAATCAATGCCTTAAAAAAAATCAGGATATTTTCCAGTTTACAGTTGTTGCACCTAAAAGACAAATTAAAGACCCCCTCCTCTCCTGGTTGCAGGAGATTCCACCACACTAGCACATAAGCCCAAGGAACAGGAAAGAGGCATTGTTTGAGCTGCAAGAGGGACAAACATTACCTTCTAGTGCAGGGGCAGGCGGTTATTTTGGCCAGAGGGCTGCTTACTGAGTTTTGGCAAGCCATGGAGGGCTGCATGATAGGCAGCCCAGGGCAGATAAATATTAAGTTTCTAAACCTTTTAGGGGCCGCACGGGCTGGATAGAATGGCCTGGCAGGCCACATCCAGCCCCTGGGCCGCATTTTGCCCACCCCTGTTCTAGTGAGTACAGCAAGGGTAGCTGCAAGGTGCCCAGACTCTAAAGCTAGGGTGGAAGGAAAAGCTTTGTTGGTATTTTATTTATTTATTTATTTTAAAGGAGAGACATTTGCAGTACATGGCGGGACTAAAACAGAGTGAAGAGAGCATTGACACATACAAGACAAATACCTTCACCATAGCACTTTCAAGAGGGGTCTTAGTTGAGAAGATTTCCTAATTAAAAACACTAACTGAAGGGGAGAGAAGGGGGGGCAGGGGGAAGGTGGGAACGACAGAATAATAAAAAGGTGTCCTGAACAGAGAAGGGCAAGATGAAGAAGACTCTCTTCCCCAGTTAAATCTAAAGGAGATGAGGAAATCTCCTCTTCATCAAAAATAAAGTCAAGTCAGTCACATATGCTGAACGATTTAAATTTCTCCTGTAGTCTAACCTGTTGTAGAGGTTAGCATGGATCTCCTCCAAAATCTGGCTGAGTTTATCCTCTGTCTCATCTTCAGCAAATGTCAACTTCTGTCCTGTGTCTCTTCTGACAGCAACAAACTGATGGTTCTTCATATCTCGTGGTCCCACTTCCAGCCTAATTGGAACACCCTGTAAGCAAAATCAAAGAGTTTATCTTTATTTCTACACATTAGCAGACAATGTATTACAAATAGATAGCGGAACCAGTCAATTTCAGAAGAGTAAGACTTTCTTCATCTGTTGCTGTTAACACTCTTATTTCAATCTGGAGTCAATTTACATTAAGCATTATTTATTCCTCTTAAACACATTGATATAACTAGCAAGGGAATTATATGGCTACTCTAACACTTGGAAGTAGTCAAGACTAGAGCAAACTTAAGCTTAGAGATTGTTTCTGCACCTTTGTAAACTGCACCTTTACCTATTCTAGACTCCTCTGTCATTAACCATTTGAAACAACTAAAAAAAAATGTTGCGACTCCTTTGCACATGACACTGTATAAGTTATAATTATGGAAGCAATGGCAGTCTCATGTAGTACTTCATAATCTCCTAAAATCTCCATGACTAAAGGTACTTATTTATACTCCTATTTAGAGTAGCATCTGCATGCAATGTTGAAATGGATGGTAGATAGGAACTATTATGGCAAATTGCAAAGTAGTATGGTACAGATATAGAGTAAATAAAGGCCAAATGGAAACTGTCCTGTTCTTGAACCTAAGAATAAAAAGTAAGCACCTCAGCATGTCAAAGCCTCAATTTTCTAGCTAAGATCCAAAACAATGATTTTAAATTTGTGCTGTCAGCAGACTGGTACAGAAGAAATAAATTATTGTGATTTGGGCAGTTTACCTACCAAAGGTGTTAAGCTCTCGCATATCTCCAAAAAATATAAAACTCCCAAGTTTTACTTGTGCTCAAATAGTATCGTCATGACCAGTTACGTAGCCCTAGCAGTCTGCTTTCAATTACAGGTTTCCCTCACTTTATGCAGGTTCTGTAGGCGTGAATTCACTCCTATGCAGTAATCCTTTTTATACCAAAACTCATTATATGCAAGGTAAATTCACTCTTATGCGATTGGTGCAGTAGAAGCCTGCAGTCAGCTGCTTTGTGTGGTGCATTGTGGGAGTGATGCCACAGGCAAAGAAAGAAAATGTTATTTGGGAGAGGCTGAGCCACCTGGATAGTGGTGCCTGGACAGGGCTGCAGCACCGGCCCCTGCAGCCCGGTGTCCCAAGAGCTGTGAGCCATGAAGCCTCCCGGCAGCAACGCCCACAGCCACTGCTCAGGGCAGCTGGGGCCTGTGCTTCTGGAGCTGCAGCTGCCCTGGAAGCAGCGTGATGCCACATTAGGGATACTTTCCAAGACCCCAACTGTACTATTTGTTATATTGTAAAGTGGGTTCCTTTTATGCGAATTTGAGTTATGCACCATTTTCCATGAATGCACATACAGCATAAAGTGAAGGAAACCTGTACAGGCAGTTTCATCTCCACAATTAGAAGAAACAAAAAGGAACTGGTAGAATAGTATGTTAAAAAAAAAGCGCAGAGGTCAGACTACATGAAGAGTACTGCTTGCCAGAATCTAAAAACCTGAGCATATTTACTTCTAAAAACATATTTAAAATTCTCTCAGACACATCCACCAACTTGCTATACCCTGCCATTATTTTTTCATGCGGATGTTGACTTAAATGCCTTGTTATCTTGGAGGCGTGTAGGTTGTAGCCGTGTTGGTCTAAGGACATAGGCAGACAAGGTTCTTTGGGTGAATCTGAGATCTTTTATTAGACCAACTCAAATAGTTGGAAAACAATTATTAAACAAGCTTTCGGGTTCAAAAACCCTTCGTCAGGCAAAGGAAGTTTCAGCAGTTGGTGTGTGCTGTTCCTTAATAATTGTTTTCCAACTATTTAAGTTGGTCTAATAAAAGATATCAGATTCACCCAAAGAACCTTGTCTTGTTATCTTGGAGGCCCTATATATACCGATATGAAAGCCATATTAAAACAGTTTTAAAAATTATTCAAAATGATGTTAGCTAGTTTAACTGGGAGATAGTTGCCATACCTGGTGAATCACATTAATTCTTCAAATTTTAAATAAAAGTGTTACTAATTTAGATTTAATATAACTGAGTTTTTCAAATCACTGATAGTTTCTAATCCTAACGTGGCAAAGCACATTTGAGCAGCAAGTCTGTAAAACTAGTTCTATTAAAGCTGCACAAGTATTAATTTTGATGGTGCTAGAACAGAGAGACATAAAGATATGTCTTTTTGTCATGAAGTTTAAAAAGTATGAAAACGTTATGAAACAGACTAACTTTAAATCCCATTAAACGCACAGGAACCCAACAGTTTGTTCCCATTCAGGAACATTTTATAGCTGTACTTTTTACTAGTCTAGTGCAATAATTCATTACATCCCTCTCCAGCTAGGTGGATGTTTCATAACAGGCACATGTTGTACTTGCCCTTTCATTTAGGACAGCAGTTTCTTTTTTCCTTTAGCCTGCTGCCAAATGTCAAAATATTGTTGCCCCTGTTGCAAGTGAAAAACTGACTGTACTTACAACATTATGTAAGGTAACTTTTGTCCTGGCTTTCCATTCACTTCATATTCTGGACCTTCTTGATATTCAGTGTACAAAACAGACTTCCTCACCTTAGGACTAGCTACTTTCGAAATTGCAGGAAGGCCTATTTTTAAAGCAAAATTTGCTGTTGCAAATTATTGATAGAAGCTACAGGTAGATGCTATAAACAAGCATATTTGAAAACTGTTAATAAGAATATTCACTAGTTTCATCACTTCCAAAAATTTGAAAACTGTTAATAAGAATATTCACTAGGCTCATCACTTCCAAACCCTGCCATTTTCATATTCTGAGGAAAATGTGGCAGCTATATCTTTCTGTTCTGAGAATAGCAAGCAGCGCAGTGAAAGGATTAAAGAAGCCACCACAAACCCCTGCAGCCCTATCTCACATGACAATCTCTTTACAGGAGTCTCACAGATTGTACCCCTTAGAGCATAAGTTCTTAAGGGTGTGCAGTGCTTCAGAAAGAATTGTATATCTCAATGTTTGCATAGTGACTAGCACAATGTAATCGTAATGGTACTTAGTACATTTTGGCTCCATTATTATACAATATAAAAAAAATCCAAAGTCGTCAAAAAGCTGTGCCTCCCAAGACAAAGCTCAATAATTATCATTTAAAACTAAATATAAATCCCCCTTCACGTTCCACAGGTTCTTGGTGAAAAAACTACACAACTTCTTACTCTACTAACTTCTAGTTACAGTGGCAAAATAAGTACAGTTTTCCTGTAAGTCGTGGTGTCTTAAAACTATATAGTTTTCATGTTCTGATAGTCTTGTGTCGAAACTTGAGGCTGAAATTCTCCCATTATTGCAAATAAAGAGAATGATAAATTATGTATCGCATAATTTCATACAATTAATACTGTAAAAGTCAAAGATATAAACAGAGCCAACTGTGAAAGTCTGTGGGGTATCCATGCATACCATACAATACTAGCTTTTATCCCCTCATTTTAATGATCGAAAGTATTCACACAAAAGTATTTATCAGTTTTGTCCATTACTGCAGTTCTCAACAGAAAGAACAAGAATCCTCAACTCTCAAATGTTAAGTCTCTCACTTCTCCAAAGGAACTTAATATCATATTTTAAATATGAATTTTTATGACATTTCATGACATTTTCAGTCACATTTTAAATTAAGGATGCATTTATAAACAATTTATAAATGCACATTTTAAAGTATATCAGAATATACTAAGGTTGCAAACTGAGGTAATAAGCAACATATTGAAATTTCTGGACCACCAACTGATTTATTATAGCTCCTTCAAAATAGAAGGCTTTAAAATAATAATAAAATGTACCCACATTGTTTCTCTACCTGTAATAGGAGCTTTTCAAGACCTTTAACAGAAAGCTTTGATTAGCTTATCTGGAGGTTAGCATTTGAATATTTATGTAAACGTCAAACTCTGGATAAAAATATGAACACCACAAATAATGCTACCGGGTTGTAACTCCTTCATTGTTCATACTACTCCAAATTACTCGCTCCGCTTTAAATACCTCGTTCTTCACTGCTATACTTACAAAGCCTCTAAAGCTACCTTCACTACAATATTTGAGCTTTTTGTTGTAAAACAGAAAGGCTTCTTTCTGTTGTGGTACTATAAGGCCATTGCAAATTTTTCAGTTTGTTCAGCTACAAAAGTGGTTCTCAATCTCGCTGGACTTAAGGCACCCAAAGAAAATGTCAGCTTTTAGCTTTCACATGATTACGGAAAAATAACGGAGTAATTCTTCTGCTGCAAAGAACGTAGAAAGACCACAACAGGATGCAATGCTTTTGGCGCTACAGATTCATATTTGAAATCTCTGAGTATCGTGTGAATCATACCCAAGTGTACGGACACCTAACAGTGTTATTATTACATGGCACCTTTAAAAGGATCTTATGGCACCTGAGGGTATAATGGCACCCTAATTGAAACTGAGCTACAGTATCATAGGGCATCATATTATCCCACTACCTACGATATTCTTAGCAACATGTCTTTTTTTTTTTTTTTTTTTTTTAAACTGACATGGTGCAGGCATGCGACCATCTCCCCCACCTCTTCATTATGAAGAGGGAACAGCTGGGGCAGCAACCCCATGAGGAGACTTGATATTGAGGGGGAGAGGGATTGTGTGCAAAAAGGAATAAAATAATGGCTGCCACTGCTGCTGGCGTCAGCCAGAATCTGCCACTGCCCTGCACACCAGTGCTGCCTCAGGGACTGAACTGCCCTGTAACACCCGTTTCATTCTGCATGTTCACCAGCCGGTAAAGTTATTTAGCTCTCTTGTCTAAGGTAATCATCTCCAGCAAGGTGAGAACTGGTCTCAGAAAACATCTTTCATTTTGCAAGAAGCAAAAGTCTTTAAGAGATGGCACAACTGCTGCTGTGATAACAATTAACTTTTTTCTATCTACTGAAAATGTATGCCTGTAGAAAGTACAGAAAATGCAGAAATCAAAAAATACACACATTACTGAAAATACACAGATTTAATGAAAAGAATTTTACCTTTAGCTCCCAGTGATTGAACTTCCAACCAGGTGAATAATTGTCTCTTAAGTCAGCACGGACACGAATATTAACACTGAGCAGCCTCTTAAGGTAGTCATTGCATTTCTTCAGCAGGGCATCTTTGTCTTCCTCAGAAAGTGAATTTGTGATGCCACAAGGAATAATTATAACCTACATCATAATACAAGTAAAAATTTACAGCAAGCATGTGGTCCTAATTCATTTAATATACAATACCAAAGAAAAAACAAAGCATATAGACAGTTAACAGGAAAAAAGAAAAATGTTTGTGGCACTTTACAAAGCAAGTTTTTGTTTTTTTTAACTCCCTCCTGCCTCAAACATTATAAATACATTTTGTTTTGGATGAACATGAGATTTAATATGCCCAGTTTGTCTGTCACAAGAAGCTAGACTCTAGAACTACTTTAATACTAATCCAATATATTTCTGCGTACAAACTTCACACTCTAAAAAGCAATTTTCTACATGTATAGATTCATAGATTAATCTATTTAAGAGTTCCTTTCATCAAGTAGCCAATATAAAATATATGATAAGACAGTAACTTTTTTCCCCCTCTCCTGTCTGAACAAGTTAAACAAACTGTTTTTACCCACCTGAACACAAGCTACCCGAGGTGGCAGTACCAGCCCCATATTATCTCCATGAATCATGGTCATTACACCAATGGTCCGAGTTGTAATGCCCCAAGAGTTCTGATAAGCTAACTGTTTCTCGCCTGGCTTCTTGGGATCCTCAAACACAATCTCAAACATCTTAGAAAAATTCTGCCCAAGATGATGGGATGTTGCTCCCTGAAAGATGCACACAGAAAATTCTGTTTAAGAAAAAGTTAAATCAGTAATGCTCAACCTTTTTCCCTTGCAAGCTGAATGGGCAGTGCCTGGTCTGTCTGTGGGCTGGATCCAGCTGGTGGCCTCAATCTGGTACCTGGGGCAGGCACGGTGTGGGGCAGGTTGGCCCCAATGCAGCCATGCAGAGGAAAGGAGTTTGACCCAGCTCTGAGGGGCAGTAAGAGTGGGGGAAGGAAAGGGGAAGGGAGCACAATCCAGCCCTAATCCAGATACAGGGGAGGGGGAGAGTGGCCATATTAATAGCCACTAGTCCCCTGCTGCCAAATTTCAAGACCTGTGGGAAAGCCCTGCAGGCCAGATATGATAGCTCTGCTTGCTGCATTTAGCCTGTAGGCTAGAGACTGAGGATAACTGCATTAAACTGATCACTAAGGCACAGAAGGACGGGGCTTTTTAAAAAAAAAATGGTGAAAATTTATGTTTTACCTGGATAGCTCTTCCACTAGCAGATATATATGCCTCCACTGTTGTTGTATAGTCACCGCCTGCAAATTTCTCTTTTTCAGTTTTTCTTCCTTTCACAACAGGTATTGCTAAGAATTCTTCATATACTCTAGCATACAGATCAAGAATCTGTAATACCTGTTATAAAACAAAAATGTTTAAACTTTATTTCAGTTTAAAATTACTAAAACTTTTTCCACTAAAAATATCACCAGAGTGAGATTGTTTTGAAGTCCTAAAATCTTTCTAGTCTTCTCTCCCCCCAGGGTATAGAACTCCTTTTTATTTTTTTAAATAAAACCTTCCCCTTCAACACAGTGCTAGTCTCCCTAACATAGCCCCTTCCTCAAGAGCAAGCTTTTGATAGCCCTACCTCAAGTCACACTTACTTTCCCACATCTCCTCTGAATTTCTGCTTACACAAAGTAATAACATTCAACTCAACTGTCAGTAGGTATATCCCACTCTGCTCTGACCTGAACCTTAAATGTGCCATACTGCATCAATTAACTAGGTCAGTGTTTCTCAATCTTTTTAGACTCAAGGTGTTCCTCAGAAAATGCCAGTTCTTAGTTTTCCCTTTTTTTGACTACAGAAAAATATTAGACCAATTCTTTTGTTGCAAAGAACTCGGAAAGATAACAACAGGTCAGAACGTTTTTAACACTATGGAATCCTATCTGAAAACTCTAGGTTTCTTGTGAATCACATCTGCACACTTGACAGTGGTGCCATGGCACCCTGGCTGAAAAATCACTTAACTTTTTTAGGACTCAAAGTTCATTACTCTGTTAAAGGCTGAGCTTGGGCTGTTAGGAAGGCCAAAGGGTATGTAAATAGCGTGGTTACTATGGAGCAATTCACCCCACACTGCATTCCATAGGAAGGAGCAGACGCACAAGCTGCACTCCAGAGCTAGCTGAGTGCAGTACGTGCTGTTACAACATCAGGCCTCTGGGTGGCACAAAGCCACTTTGCATGGAAAAAACAGCTACCCATCAGAATGAAACAGACTGGTTCACAAGTGACACATGGCTGGTACACCAGTGTAGAGAGATTCCTTACTTCAAAGGCCATTTCAACCCTGAGTGGAGTGACTTATACTGATGGTGTAAGACTGCGCTGTAGGCATATCAAGTATGTGCTCCAGTTTTACCCCAGAGTAAAGTCAAATTGCTGCAGAGTGCCTGCACCCAAAGTTTAATAGTGCTTTCACTCAAAAGACAAAAATTTTAGAAATCATGGAAAGAGCAGCTAACAGCCTACTAGACATACAAGCCCTGCTTCCATCCTTACACTCCATTAAATCATGGGGCTGATTACAAGCCTTTGTTGATGAAGGAAATGTTGAAGGGTACGCATTTGAATGGTGACAATAAGAAAACACTTCAGTTTGAAAACTGCTAAAACAGCATAGCAAAGAGACCAACAAGAACCAACTACGGATACCCTACATTAGTAGGGACCAATCTTGTTAGCAAGCATGCCAGAAACTAGCCCCACAACTTCTCTGAATGCCACTCTGATCTCCTTTCTCTGCCCAATCTGTTGCTCTGCTTTTGGGGTTCAAACAGAGGACTAAACAGCCTGACTAGAGAGAGGAAGCTTGAAACAACAGCTAATATTAAGAAGGAGGTATAGTACACAAGGTAAAATTCTCTTTGGTTTCTTTTAGTACTAAAAATCTATGAAAACTTTAGTGAAAAAGGAATTCCCCAAAAGAAAAACTACTGTGAAACAGAATTAAGATTGGAAAAACATACGAGTAACTTAACAGTATAAACAAGCATTACCCAGGAAATTTAGGGTTTAATCTTAATTTAAAAGAAAGGCAACCCAATTAAAAATCTCGGGGTGTGAACTGTGCCCTCAAGTGACATGAGTGAAAGGAAAAATAAAACAGGTCTTTAATTAACATCTCACATGAAACAGTAAGCACCAATAGATAAAAAGTGTATGGCTACTGCTAGATGTTGCTATAGGGCAGAATGAAGGTTGTCTTTCTTTAAGATCACATTCTGAATTTCCTGGTTTTGCAATGTTTGTTTTATACCGCTATGTTACTGACAAATGAAACCTTCATCCTGTTTCTGTCTAAAAAAAAAGAGAAAAAGAAGAAGAATATCATTGTATTCTAGATTAAAGGGCAGAAAAATTAAGAAACAAAACAAGATTAAACAAAACATTGTGCTGTAGTTAATAAACTTAATAAATATGCATACTGTAAGCTCCAAATGGTAATTATAGTGTTCTGTATTTGTTATGCTTCTCTTCAAACATCTACATAGGTGCTTCATGAAAGACAGCTTGAATTGGTTATAAAGGTATTATCCAGAATGGGAAGAATCTAGGAACTGGAAATTCAACAAACTGATGCTACTAGGTCATCTAACCCAGGAGTTACCAACCTAAGGCCCATGGGTCGGATCCAGCCTGCAGAATCATTGGATTTGACCTCGATTCAAGACCGTTCCCTATTTAAATGTTTTTATCCAACCAACTTTTCAAGTATTACAAACCACAGTGCTTCTTTCATTTTCCATGAAAACTATATTTTAAGCTGAGGACGGCTGACAGTTACTTGAAGTTTCCCTTGCTTACTTTAATTTATCTTAGAGCAGGGATCGGCAACCCCTGGCATGTGTGCTAGACAGCATGGCACGTGAGGCCATTTTCCTTGGCACACCACAGCTGACCTAGACTCTGGGCGGCTTCTCCCAGCAGATGCCCAGAGCCCAGGCCGGCTGCAGCCAGAAGGTTGCAAACAGCTACATAGGGCTCCGCAGCCCTGGCACCAGTTTCATGGTAATGGCAGCTGTGCATGCACCTCTGGAATCATGGTTGGGAAGAGGCCTGGGGCAGTGCAACCCTGGTTCCTCCTCCACCATCCACCCAGAGGCATGTGTCCAGCTGTCACCACTGCCATGGAGCTGGGGCTGTGGAGCCCAGCACAGCTGTTTGCAGCCTTCCAGCTGCCTGCTACAGCTGCCTAGAGCCTGGGCCAGCTGTGGAAGGTAGCTGGGAGGCTGCAAACAGCTGTACTGGACTCCAGAGCCCCAGCACTGGCTCCATGGCAGCAGTGGGTGCATATGCACCTCACAGCGCATGGCAGGGAAGGGGCTGGGGAAGCACAATCCCATTCATTCCTGCACCATCTGCCTAGAGGTACATGCACAGCTGCAACGGAGTCAGTGCCCTGGCACTAGCTCAGGTGAAAGGTGCACATGCGGCTTGCAGCACAGGGCAGGGAAGGGGCTGGGGCAGCGCAACCCTGGCCCCTCCCCTGCCATCCATCCAGAGGCATGCATGCAGCCACTGCCAGCAATGAAGATCGGGCCCCTTGCAGCTCCCCCATCTCTGGCACTTCAAGTTGAGGCATGGGTGGAAGCTGGGGTGATTTTGGCACTTGCCAAAACTGTTGCCAACCCTGTCTTAGATTATTAGTCAGTCACACATTTGTAGACCAAGAAAACATAACTCAAAATCTTATTTCCAAGACATGTTCCCTAGCTGAAGTATGCAATATGTACTGTACAAAAAGCTTAAGACTATAGACAGATGAATTGTACTTAAAGTGGCAGAGCGGGGACAACTGATCTACTTTTGCTGTTTTGGGTGTTTGCTCTACCTTGCAATAAATGGAAGTTAAATTGAGCTAATTTAACAGGCAGGCAGTTCAAAATGCAAGAGTCACTTGAACTGGATGGACCTGACAAGTTTTTCTAAAAGAAGATGAGAAATAGTTAAGCATTCGGTGTTTTTTACCTCCTCTGCTGCTTCTTCGTAAGTGGCAAATGCAGTGTGTCCTTCCTGCCAAAGGAATTCACGAGTGCGGAGGAAGGGTTGGGGATGTTTGAACTCCCAACGCTGCGAGAGAAAAGGTGACTTGAAATTCAATTAAAATTCAGTTTTATTAATTTAATTTTTAAATGTTTAAAAAAATATATAATCATTATAATCATCATTGCTCAGAAGCTCCGTTTTTCACTTGTACCACACTGGAAAAAAATCGAGTTTAAAAATACTAGATGCTTTCAGACTGAAAAGCTAATATGCATTGGCAAAGTCATTAATATTTCACTGGCTATTTAATGACATGCTACACAACATAATGCAAATAGATTAAGAATTACAACAGTATTTTATTATTTGAATTTCATCTTTTTTCTTATGTTTGTCCTAATACACTTTGAATCATTTATGGCCAATGTCATTTTTATTAATAAGAGTTGTTCCACTTGAAAAACAAACAAACGAACGAACAAAATGAAATGGCTGACTAACGAAAGTGTGTGCATGCTGGACCTACCACTACATTGCACCACTGATTAAGCTTGATAGGAAGATCTCGGTGAGACTGCACCCATTTTGCATAGGCAGGATACATAACTGTAAAAGAAAAAGAAAAAACATTCTTTGGCTCTTTTTCCAACCAGAAACATCTAAGACTATTTTTTTTGTTACATCATAAGCACAATGGAGCTTTGCATCTTATACGGATTGGACTTTCACATTTTTGTTCCCCTTGAACAAATTTCCAGATAGGTACAAGTTGACCCACATGCCACCAGACTGAGCCTACATGCAGGGCCTTGGGACATGTGCCACATATGGTGTTCCCCACCTGGTCCAGGATTGCACCTGCATGCAGAACAGCTCCAGACCAGGTGGGGGGAGGAAAGGGGGTATATGCTGCCTGTGGTGTGGATCCTGGACTAGTTTGGGCAGGGGCTATGCACAATGCAGGTCCCAGAGCAGGCACTGCAGGGGCTAAATCTGGCATGGGAGAGGAGTAGGAAGCAGGGGGATCCATGGGCCTGACCCATGAATGAGTTTGACACCCCTAGGCTAGAACAATTAAAATACCTCTAGATTCACAAAATACAAATTCAGTAATTTGTATGCAAGACACTTCTGAATGAGCTAACCAGAAGTATAACTACATTAGTGTGGTTCTCCACCACAGCTAACATATCTTGGTTTTGCACATGCAAGACTTCATGAATTATTATGGGGGGGAAAAAACAAAACGAAACACTTTTCTTTATCCCAACTGGTGATCGTTAGGCAGGATTTCCTAGAAAGAACTTCAAGTGATGCAGTATTAACTACTCATTCTAAAAATTTACGGCACAATTTAGTTTACCTGTTTCACTTGTAGGACGTACAGCAATTGGCTCAGCCAGTTCGGTTTTGCCAGACCTTGTAACCCAAGCAACCTATTTTTTTTTTTTTTTTTAAAGAAAAAAAAATTCCTTCACCTTGGTCTATTTCAATTCAAATGAAAAAGATCCTCTCTCTGAGGCTATGGACATCCTAATATAAAGAAATCTTAGTTACATTAAAATAACTCCACAAGAAACCCAGACAGACAGATGGACATTTACAGATGCTCCTGTCTATCCCTTCATTTTTATGCAAATGTACCCTCAGTTTCCTCCAAATACCTTATAAAAAAGCCTACAGAAATATAACTTCTTGCATTTTTTATCATTACCTAAAGGACAGGGTCAGCAACATTTTGCAGTGGGGGGCCATTTTAAATGAAGCTTAGCTTCAAGCACAGGCCACTTCCAATCCAGCCCACACCATTAGCAACATAGCCGGAGCTGCTGATTCTCCCGCCTCCCACTGCAGTTCTGCCAACTCTGCTTTTCCCTGCTCTACATAGGTACAGCCTGTGCCACAGAAATACTGCGGAAGCATTGCCTCCCCCCACCTTCCAGCTCTGTGGGCCAGATAAAATTGCTTCATAGGCCACAGGTTGCTGACCTCCGACCTAAAGCTATAATGGCAACAGTGAAAGAAATTGCCTGCACAGCTTACAGTCATCACCCACCCACACACTTAAATTGGCAGGCAAGTTGTTGCTTTTTAACGTAAACACCACTCTCACTAAATTTAACAGAATTTTGAAATGTACCTCGGGGGCAAAGTCAGCTATATGAGTTTTTTCTTTCTCTAGTGCAGCCTGAGACACAAACATAGGGAAATAGCAGTTTTCCACACCAAGTTTTTTTATCTCAGTGTCGAAGAAATCTCTAATGGCTTCCCAGATCGCATAAGCCCATGGACGAAGAACATAGCAGCCACTCACGTCGTAGTATTCAATCATCTCTGATTTTGTGATCACCTTTGAAGTTATTAAAAGTTCCAATTAAATGCACAAAGAAAGCGTTACAGTAATTCAAGCCCTGACTGTATACCTGTCTCAAGAAGCTAATCAGCATTTAAGGAAAAAACAAAAAAAAAGTTGTCTCAAATATCTAATGCTAGTGCTCCTTGCAACATCTTTATATTGCTGTACAAACTTGTTCTATTAAACTGTCTCTATAAACTAGCCAGACCTATTGAAACTTAATTGAAATGCCTACACAACTAAGCTTCATTACAAGAAAAGGTAATCAACTAACCTCTATGATCAAATGAGCTTATAATTTATAAATAATGTCTGGCTTATAATTATAAAAACACACTATTTATATTTTGCTGTTAGTGAATGGCACCATTGACAACTTTGAAATCTACCTCATTAGCCATAAATTAGTAAGGTATTAAGGTCCCATCCCCCCCCACTTTCCAATGCACCTCAAATTTCCATCTTACTTTATATTACTACTCGAAAGTAGTAATACTACTTGAAAAGCTGGATAAAGGTCAAAACAAATTTCACATAAAAAAAACCTAGCAGCAGATGTGAAGAAGTCTGTTCTAAACTATCACGATCTTGATTCAAACTGATTGTAAAATCTATCAAGCTCTTATTTCATCTTTAGAATATATTTAATGAAAAATGTTCACTTAGCCAAGACTTTACAGCTTTGTATGTTTACTCAGCATTTAGAATGAGCTGTCCAGAAACTACCAAAAAATGTTTGTAACAGTAACACCTTAAGACTATAAAACAGACCTTTATTAAGTCATATTTTATAATTCAGAAGAGAAGGGAAAAAAAATCTTCAATTAAAAAAAAAAAAGATACAAACTCACCTGAGAGAACCAATCAGCAAGATTTTCTTCTTTTTTAGCTTCAAGTCCCAGCCTATACAGATGAAAACAACAGAATAAATATGCAGTCTAAATTATTTCTAAGCGATTCAAACTACAGCAGCGCACAGAAGTTTGAGGGAAAATATCTTTCAATAAATATTTAAGCATTTTATGTGGGCAATCTGACAGACTC